TGTAAAGGACATTGTTTGCCTTACAGGCCTGGATTCCTAGCAAACAGGTCTTGCGTACGTAGGCCAGGAACAAACAAACTATATGCTAGCTGAACAACATTTTAATGAGAGATAATATAAGTTTCACTTGACATCGATATACTATGCCGTGGCCACGAGTTACTAAATCGTGGCCACGAGATAGCTAAGTCGTGGCCACGAGATACTATGTCGTGGCCATGAGTTACTTTGTCATAGCGACGAGATAGCTAAGTCGTGGCCACGAGTTACTTTGCCATGGCCACGAGATAGCTAAGTCTTGGCAACGAGATAAATAACCAATCAGATTACACCATTTCTATGAATTTCCCTAATTAACTAGACATAAGCTATAGTACAAGGATGCCCCTACTTCACCAGTCTGTAAAAGTGCTATTTATACAACTTGTTAACTGGTTTACAATTTTACATTTAGCGTCACTGTAACCCTGATTTTTGACACAGTGACCATGAAATCATCAGATGCAATGATCTTTCAGGGTTGAGATAAATAACCAATCAGATTACACCATTTCTATAAATTTCCCTAATTAACTAGACATAAGCTATAGTACAAGGATGCCCCTACTTCACCAGTCTGTAAAAGTGCTATTTATACAACTTGTTAACTGGTCAACAATTTTACATTTAGCGTCACTGTGACCCTGATTTTTGACACAATGACCATGAAATCATAAGATGTCATCTACTGATCAGGTGCAATGATCTTTCAGGGTTATATAAAACTTGGTTATACCCCTCTAAATTATTCATCAGACACGGATTTTACATGAAGTTTCATGGTTACCTTGACCTCAAAAATCCTTAAAGGCTATCTACTGTCCATGGGCAATGTCCCTTCCAAACAAAATAAACCAGGATTTATTCCTTCTCATGTTATCGTATAAACAAGGTTAACAGGCCGTAGTACGTACAAACTGACCAATTCGATCACAAAATTGTCCCAACAAACAAAGGGCTATAGTCAAAATTAATGTCTGATGGGCCTTGGAAGGTGACTTTCTAATATGATCCTGAAAACAAGTTCAAAGTGAATATATTCAGTATGTTGCATGTATGTTGCATGTTAAAGTAAGTTGTTAAGTTATAAAAATTCATACATGTAATAAACATATTAGTGTTTTGTGATTGGTTAATAATCTCGTGCGCACGACTTAGTTTTCTCGTTCCCACGACTAAGTAACTCGTGGCCACGATATAGTATCTCGTGCCCACGACTTAATTATCTCATGGCCACGACTTAGTAACTCGTGGCCACGACAAAGTATCTCAGTGAGCTCGAGATTAATAAAAACACATTTGTGCCACCGTAGTCAATAGAGGATGAGTGATGAATTAATAACTTTTTAAATAAGATAGTTGACGCGGAATAAAATAACTGTTTATTTTACAAACGAGGCGCATAGTGACCAATATTACAAAAATATAGGAAAGATTGATACATTATTTAAGTTGAAAGAATGAAGGAAAAATATATATTTCGGGAATATTTCTATGCATGAATTTAGACGTGAATGTGTTTTATTTCGTGTTGCACGTGGTCAACTGGTTTAAGGTCGTTGACTTTCATACACTTGAACCTCACAGCTTTGGGTTCGAATTGTGCAAATGACTGGATTCTTTCATGTGTGGAAACATTCAATGGGACGTGTCTGTGGGTGGTTCTATTCAGGTATGCGTTTGTACCTAGGGAAAGCCTTCCTTTAACAGTAAAGCTATGACATTGAATTAAAACACAGCCGGAAAGAAGGTAGTAAGAGAAAAGATGGAGGCACATAAATGCACACTCATTGTTATTTTTTGGATGTTTGCGGACCAGTATTTTGTCATTTTTAAATAATAATAATAATAATAATAAAATAATAATAAAATAATAATAATAATAATAATATAATAATGATAATAATAATAATAATAATAATAATAATAATAATAATATAATAAAAATAATGATAATAATAAAATATGTTATATAACAAAAGTATTTGTTCAATGCCCAATGTACATATTAACTTATGCTGTGCATATACCCTTTGATGGAATGCAGCATATAAAACAATGCATCAGATGTAAATTTATGCACTGAAACCGACTACAAGTGATGAAAATCCTGCAGCTTGTGAAGGTTTCACTACCCCCTCCTCACAAACCCCCGGGCCCTCCACGGCTCTTTTTTCCAAATTTTTTTTGGGTTTCCCAAAACGTGAAAATCCAAACTTAGCAAAATAAGACTTTTGCTGTGTGGGGGCGTGTTTTTCTTTGCGCGCATTGTGTGTGTTTTGGGGTTGTGTGTTTGGGGTTTTCCCGTAAAATAAAATTGGTCTAACGCAAATAAAACCCATTTGTGTGTTAAAAAAACGGACCCTTTCCATTTTCCACAAAATGAAACTATATTACCATGTTTCCTGGGGCCCCCTATTCCCTTTAAAAATTTAGGGGACCCTTTTCCTTTTTTTGGTACTAAAAAGGATAAAATCAATTTCTATTTATGGATTGTATGTTTGTTTCAGTAGCCTGCTTTAAATTCACAGTGAAGGAAACATTTTAAATTTTTTTTTCCCTTTGTTTCTTTGTCCTGCTTTACATTCAAATAATTTAATACCAGTGGTAACTACGGTAAGATTTTTGTTTATTGAAATTTGAATTGTTCACTTTTAGTTCTTTCAAAAATGTCTTTACAGTCTTTAATTGTCAACCGGAAGTGATAGCAGACGACAATTCATTTTTTTCTGTTTTAGTAAATTATTCAATATACTGCATTTGAATTCATTTAGCTTGTTTATGCTATTTTATTGAGGGTATTTAAGTTTTTTTCTATGAATACTGGATTTATTTTCAACGGGTGGTATGAAAATAAATATTTTTGCATGAGTAGAAGAAAGTGATTTGAGTACGAGAATGGTGGGGGTTACTTTGTACTTTGTAAAAGCTAGAGGTGGTTGTATTGGTAGTTTTCACTCCGGGTCACGACAGTAAGCCAAAATGAATTCACAAGAGCACTATTCAACCACCACATCGTTCCTTGGCAGGCTGTCAAGCAGTTTACCAGTACTAGTTGCATTCACTTTCGCAAGGAATTGAAATTTCTGTACGTGCCAGAGCAGAGGTTCAGTGTGAATGACCGTAGATTCATTTCATGATCAATCACAACGAAAATGGCTGCGCCGTCCGGGAATCGAATCCGGGTCGCCCGGTTCATTGTTCAACGTTCTACCTTTTGAGCTAACCGGAGGACTTTTAAAAGCTAGAATTTCCGTATGCCAAATTTATAGCTTACTGACATACTGTCAGCCTCGGGGGGTTCATTGTCGTACAGATCTTACTTGTTTACGGTAATGGGGTTCTTCTTGTCACATATATTAATAAACAGCTGTTGTTTCGTCAAGAATGATAGATGATGTGTTTTATCAATAACCAATTTTAATAACAACTCAATCAAAGAGTACAAAATGTGTTTTACATCTAAAACAAATTGGTAGATATAATTTTATAGTTAGATTTTATTGACCTGTTGTCAAAATGAATACATCACACTAATTTGAAATTTTCGATGCCAACTTTTGGTTAAATTCCGTTAATTTATGAAGTAGTTAATAAGAATTAATAAGTTATTGGGCTTGAAAAGTTACACTAGCTTAATAAGAATTAAATGTTATCCATCAATCCGGGTGAATGATTGCCTTTTAAATACGAGTGATTTGTTGGTCAGAGGATTTCATAACTTTTTCTCTTTCTTTTTTTTTGTTAGGTATTCTTTAATTGTAAATTGGGCAAAGTGTCTGCGAAAATGTAGAACAAACAAACTAGTAGTTCTCCCTATTGCGTTAACACGCTCAGTTTAAATATTTTACAGAAACAAATAAATTTTAAACTTATTTTATAGCGAACACCTCACGAGCGTTGCCAAAAATCTATCGAATATCTATATATTGTGTGCAACAGGTTAATAAAATCAAACAGTCTGAGGTTATTTTGAAATAATAGCGGAAGGAATTCCGGCTAGACTAAACTATAATGATGGAGAAATCAGGAGAAATTACTTCCTGTTTCAAGTAATAATTTGCCCCCTTTTTATTTCCCCCTCCGTTTGATAACGATTTGTTTACATATTTTTAATGTAAAAATTTATGATTTTAAAACGGTTAAAACATATGTGAGCCATACATCGTTCTTGGTGTCTGTTCATGCAATTATTTACAGGAAAATATTTTCTTACTCAGCTTGTCCACTCCCACCACCGAAGCTCTTAGGGTCCAGACCAGAATAAATAATAGTTTTGTATCAAAAATAAAATTACCAAATACGTGATAGACACATACTATCTTATTTGACCTGCATATAAAATATTTTTAATCAGTTTTCTTTTAGGTGTTTTTTTTTCACAAACATTTTATAACTTTTTTTCACAAACATTTTATAAACTAGTCAGTATTTTAACTGTATATAAGGTTTGACTATTAAATTATCAACATTCCGAAAAAATAGATCAGACTGCTGAGACATTTACTTTAAAGTCCCAAAACTGTAACTTCCCCGTCCTTCCTGCCCCTCTCTTCCACGGAATTTGTGAATTTTGTTATGTGCATAATATGGATACTTATTGCCATTTTGAAGTTATACGTTTATATTATCAAATATATTTCGTACGTATTGATTACATTAATGGAGAAGTAAAATGTTGTTTTCTTTTTCAAGCATACAATGTATTTAATATAACGATGGAAAAAATCGTTATGTATATGAATTTATGCAATTATTAAAACAGATTTCAGCTACAGTTATGCATTGAATTTGTTAAAGTTAAACATAGCATCTGAATATAGTGTTACAATATAGTGTTACATACATATCTACTTCTTATTCGCCGTTTTCGTTATCTGATCCAAACCATGCAAAATTAAAGTTTTTAAACATCCTCAGCATTTTATATATTACATAGAAAGATTGTCACTCATTAACTTTTTTTCTGCTCTCTTTTCAGAATTTCAAGGCGACCTGATTAAATTCTACAGAAAAAGGTGTAGTTCAATACCTCTCTCACCGCTTCTTGAAGAAATAGAGACACCTCTAGCTGGGTTCTATGTAATGCCAGATTTAGTCGCTGTAAAACAGAAGTCCCTAACCTGTCATGAAGAGGAAAGAACTCCGATGAAGTCTTTGAAAGACCTGTTTTCAACCGGAAGTGCAGATCAGCAAGAAATTTATCTATCAGCTGATGCAGGCTTTGGAAAAACTGCTTTCTCTAAATATCTTGCAATCACGTGGTGTCAATCTCATTGTCACGATGAAAAATACGCCAGTTTTAATGATGACGAGTTAAACACATTATTTGACTTTAAGTTCTTATTTTTGGTTTTATTAAGAGACTGTACCTATGTTTGTAACATTGACGATATGATTGAACAGCAAATTACTAGGAAACTTCCTCCTTCAGCAACAATCCATGAAGTTTTACGTAGAGAAAAATGCTTGATTATATTGGACGGTCTTGATGAATGGACTCACCCTTTAAATAGTTGTGACGAAGTCACAGAAAAAATCCCACATCGGTACGTACGTGATAATTGTGTTATCCTAACGACAACTCGACCGTGGAAGCTCGGAGTTTCAAATCTCAAAACAAGTCAAATAAACAAAAAAGTAGAATTGATTCAATTAAGTGCAGATTCCACGCAGAAACTAGAAGAAAATGCTATAAGGAAAATGACCGGTGTCCATAACGATAGAGTATTGAAGAGTAAAATACAGGACTTTAATAAAGTGATACGTGACCGTCGCCTAGAGCACATGCAAGTGATTCCACTCCTCCTCATGTATATAGTTTGCCTATGGTGCAACAACATTCCTATAGGAAATTCAAAACATGAAATTTACACCAATATCATTGAATTTCTATTATCGAGAACGTCAAAGAAACACCCGGAAGTTCAACCATCTCGTGAATCGTCTGCCAGTGAAATTCCAGAATACTTCAAAAGTCACGAATTTTGTAAAAAGTTTTACAGCCTTATAACATCATTAGCAGAACTAGCTTACCAAACATTATTTAACGAAAATAGAGAAAACACGCTACTATTTGATAGAACAGTTGCTGACAAATATCTCAAAGCAGACCACATGAAATTAAGTCTTCTCTCAGGAATACTGTCAGAAAGTAGAAGTAAAACTTTAATCAAAGAAATTATCAAAGTATCGTTTTCCCACAAAACAGTGCAAGAATTCTTCGCCGCAATATTTATAAGTTCTCAAAGTGACGCTAAGAAAATTGTTGTAGAAAAATGTAGAAATGTTCAAGACATTCTGGACATGTCAAAGGTTTGTGAATTTATAAGTAAAATGAATGCTGACCGGATGTGTGCAATATCACATGAATTGATGTCTGTGATAAATGAAGACGAGAAAACACGCGAATATAGAACTAGGATAGGTGACGAGAGCATGTACAATAGTCCATTGTATAGCATACAGGAAATGTTCATGTCGTGTTTACAAGAAATGCCTGAAAGTGAAAATATTCAATTATGTTTACAAGATTTCTTCATTGACCGGGACACCAGGGTGCACATTGGGCAGTTACAACGTTTGTCAAAACAAAATAAAACCAACATAAAATCACTTTATATAGACATCTTCTATACTTCCAGCAGTTTACGTGAAATTATAGATTTATTCTCTCTCACAGATCTCAGTCATATACAGAAACTTTTCTATCGTGGAGGCATGAAGAAGGAGGCTCAGATAAGTCAGATATTGTTTCCCAATTTACAGTCCGTTACTTTGTTGGGTGGTGAATGGAAAAATGATGAACAAAACCTCAGTGAAAACTTGGCGCGATGTCAAAACTTACAATATTTAGATATTGGCTACTTCACGTTATCTCACAAAATACTGGAAACATTTTTCAATTTTTTCTCCGGTCAAAAAGCTATGAAAGTGTTAATATTGAGGAACTTAGACTGTAGAGAGCATGGCCGCCAAGGTTGTAAGAGATTGATGAACTTGGACTTGTCTCAACATTCAACTCTATCAGAGTTACACTTGGAGAAGTTACCTGCGAGGCTACAATTAAATATATCAACACCGTCATTAGTTTATGTTAAGTTGCAGAAAATCAATCTAGATGAAAGTTCATTATTACTGTCACGTGACATGGTGAATATTGAACGTGTGGAGTTGGGGTATATAGAAATGTCTGCAGGAAGTTTACAGAACTTTATTTCCGTGCTAGAAAATCTGCCGCAGTCAGTTACAGTAGAGATGAAAGCCATTAAACCGGAAACAGAATATGACCGTGTTAGAGAAAATATTAGGAGATCACAAACTTTTCATGTGATACAAGAAGAAAGTGAGGATAAGTGGCAGCCATTTGAGTTCAAAAGCAAAGAATAGACAAGAAATAACATTGTGAAATAAATTGAAGAAGTTACTTCAATAATTTTAGATAAACAAAACAATTTAAATATGGACATTTAGAAACAAAATGGCGGTTCTTCGAACTACATTATAGTCTTCAATTAGGACATGCATGTAATATACGTTTCCAATTTAAACATTAATTGACAATTGATTATAGATAAAAAAAAAACTGATAGAAGTAATTCATGGACGTTTTTTACAAGTTTTTACGGATATTAATGGATATAAAAGTTGGACAAGGATATGGAAATATTTCACAGGTAAGAGATTTTATAGTGAATGTTTAATCTTTAATTATTATTTTATTATACATGCATATGTAAGAACTGAAATAGATTATTCACAGTGAACACGATTCTTATATTTACTTTTAATCGAATAAAATATTTGATATAAATAAATCAACATTAATTAAATATTTTACATGATTTGTTTTTATTCTGGAATAAGATTATTTTTGTAATAACAATGAAGCATTTTACAAACATAGACTTTAAACAGATACACTATACATGGCACGTGTTTATTAAATGGCATGTCACAACCTCTATATTAAACATAGTTTGAACCAGCGCATACATGTACATAAAGTTATAAATCAATGTAGATTAAAGTGAATGTATGTTAAACGTTTCTTAATTTTTACTCCGGAAAGATTATTTGTTTACTGTTTTAGTAAGATGTTATTGTTATGTCATATATTTAAGGTACGTATTTGTAATTTTATGATAAAGTCTATTTGAGCCGCGTCACGACAAAACAAACATGACCAGCATGGATCCAGAGCACCCTGCGCATCTGCGCAGTCTTATCAGGATCCATGCCGTTCGCTATCAGTTTCTCTACTTGTTATTAAGTTTGTTAGCGAACATCATGGATCCTGATAAGACTGCGCAGATGCGCAGGGTGCTCTGGATCCATGCTGGTCATGTTTGTTTTGTCGTGACGCGGCTCAAATAGACTTTATCATAAAATTACAAATACGTACCTTAAATATATGACATAACAATAACATCTTACTAAAACAATAAACAAATAATCTTTCCGGAGTAAAAATTAAGAAACGTTTAACATACATTCACTTTTTCTTTAAAAACACAAGAGATAATGCATGCAACTTTGGTATAAAACATTATCTAGTGTACCCCTATCAAGTTAATAAAAGCATTGCCGTGGCGTAAAAAAAGGCTGGGCTCCATGGGGGATTGGGTAATGGCTCATAGGTTTTTCCATATATTTTTGCAATAGAAACTAGTGACTTCCATACCAGTCAGTGAATTTCTTTTGCAACCTGTAATTTTCTATAGTTATCCCTTGTAAAGTTACCAGTGATTTTCATAGCAACACACATTCACTTTGCATAGCAACAATAGTATACAACAAGGTACCTTTTGACTTTTCATAGCAACCATTGTTTTTCCATAGCAACCTATGACTTCCACAGCAAGCATTTACTTTGACTTAGAAAGCAGTGACTTCCAAAGCAACCATTGAATTTGTGCACTATTTCAGATGCAGAAATAAACTTTGTAATCTTATCAGCTTAAGATTTGTATTTTTCTGCTTTTCATTATAAATCAACTGTTCTTGTCATTATGAGCCTTTATAATCATAATTAACCGAGTGATATAAGAACAATCATGGACTTTAACTATATGTAGATATAAAATAGTAAAAGAACGTTTTGCATAAATCCCCCATTAATAATATAATTTGCGTTTTTTATCATTTCAGCGGCATTGGATCAAATTTTCAAATTATTTATGATGCAGAACCTCTTGTGACATTTACCATTATGACTTGTGTGGTGATAGATCAATTTTATTGGGATGATTGGATATGTTTTGAACAACTTCTTTGGAAACAGAAGTTTCATGTGTCAAGGTAAGACTTTAAATGTGGTGATAGATCAATTTTATTGGGATGATTGGATATGTTTTGAACAACTTCTTTGGAAACAGAAGTTTCATGTGTCAAGGTAAGACTTTAAATTACCTTTTTTATTGACAGGTCAATAAAATACAAAATAACGATTAAAGAGTAAAATCGGAAATGATCTCCATGAAAGTATGCAAAATGTGACTATTTCGTGAATGAACGTTTCAACTTTTATCCGGGTCCCGCAAGCAAAGTATGTTAAGGACATCTGAAATGTAGTATAGTAAAAGTTATTAGTTGTTTAAGACAGATAGTTTATGGCAAATGCACGTAAAAGAAAGTGATTAAAAGTGTTCGTATTTCTTGCAAAAAAAAAAACAACAACAATCGCCTGAATCGCAGTATTTAAGACGTGCTGAACGTTTCCTATATGCCTGCATTGAATTTTAATAGTAAACTAACTAGTGTGGGAAGCCGACAAATTTCACGTAAACAGCGCGATTGTGTTTAAAGTAGCAAGCACCTTTAATGGAAATCTATAGTATGATAGAAATAGGTCCAGCTACGCAAGCTATAAATTATTATAATGAATATGATTGAATTTTTTAGCTTTAAATATGTGCTTCTAACATGTTTATAATTTACTTTTTTAAAGATAATGAAAAATGTTATTTACTGACTTTTGTATTCAATATAATTGTATTTAAGTATACTAAAACAAAAGAAAAAATATAAACTTTTTCTTTAAGTATCAGTATTGATTCATGTCAACAAAGATGTTCTAAATATAGTAAATGACTCTAAGGGTTTAACTCAATACAGGACTGGAGCAGTACCTCTAGACGCTTGCAGAAATTGTGATCACAAAATAGACAAATATCTTTTTCCGCCGATTCTTACATTTTTCATTCATTATCATACTTAAAAATGTATGAAAAGATGAATTAGACGTTTTAAAGTTCATCTTTTGCATGAAACGGCAAGATTTTGGCATTCAATCGCATTGTCCGGTATATACCGGAATACGGTATTTAGTGTGGTAATTCACAGTTAAATAGGCAATTTTAATGGTAATTTTCACGTTAAAAGAAGATATTAAATAATAGTTTTGGCGCAAAATGCACAAGAATTAATTGGGACAAGGGCAATTGCAAATGAAAAGGTTAAATCAACGTATGTTAATCTGATTTTGTTTCGTAACGGGTCTGCTGCTGCATCAGATGAAAAACAGAAATATAAAAAAGCGGCTTTTGTATAGGTTAAAGTTTATAAGTGCATATTTACAAAATTAAATTGGTCAGGTGCGGCGCAGCCGTGCGTCTTATTTAATTTTGTAAATACGTACTAATAGATTTTAACCGACTTAGTGTTTTAAATTCTTTTCCTAAGCAGTTGATTTATTAAACAGATTAACAGTTTGCCAATTTACCAAAGTAAAAGTGTTCCGATTCATTTGAAATACTGCAATTATATTGTGCAAACACTAAAGATTTTTGGAAGCCAGAACTTATTTTTTTCATTAATTTATTTATTTATTTTTGAAAATCGGTTGATAAAATTCAGCGTTGTCATATTATTTGCAAAACATTGGTTGTTCTACCTAAAATAACGTGGATGTCTACTCGAATCTAAATCATTTACATGTGTTTCATCTTGTTGACAGAAAGTCCGTGGTTCTATCTGGATATCAGCTCGTGCTTTAATACAGTTATTCAATTAAATAATGCTAACGGTATGTCCGTGTTTTATCCGGATTACAGCTCACAGTTTAGTTTGCTGACGGAAAGTCCGTGGTTCTACTCGCACATCAGTTTAATTTCAGTTAGCTTATGGAAGGTCCGTGGTTCTACTCGAATGTCCGCACGTACCTAAATATTTGTTTCAGTTCGCAGAAGGTATGTTTATTTGCTCTAGAAATCCGCTCCTGCCAAAATCTTAACACAAGATATCCAGTGACTGTTTATCTACTGTACCATAGGCAAACCAGAAGATAAAACGTCGGTGTTACTTTGAAAATATAAAACTGGTGTTAGAATAAAATCCTGCTATCTATACTGTTACAAAATGTTTTGACTAACTCATTTATCATTTCTTCTTCTCTTTTCAGAATATAAGCTTCAGTAAAACTACAGTGACAATGATGACAACGCTTCTACGAGAATAAAATATAAAGACTTGACACCTGGTTCCTGGCATTACAGAAACATACACGAAAGAAAATTGCTCTAAAATAGTTTCGTATAATATTTCTGATTAATAGATTAACCCGAAACAGACTAGCAAACTGTTGCATTGTTTTACCATAAATGGTAATTTACGTGTAAAAAGATATTACCACCAATGCTGCTGTCAAATATATTCCTGAGTTCCTTCAAAATATGTTTTGTGGATTACTGTCATACCGTTTGTAAACCTCTTTTGATTTAACAACATCTTATTGAATTAAATGTATTGGTTTATTAAATAAGGGACATAAAGTATAGAGGGATAAGCAACTACCGACTGATGTTGGCGTCCAGATGACAGCCAATCTGCGATAGAGTTTCAATCATATATTTATGCCGCAATTGTTAAACAATATATTGACAAAATATTGTAAAGATCATTAAGATACTAAAGGTCGATAAAATATTTCATGCATTTCACATCTAACATAGACTAGAGCTCTACTCTAAATCCATTTCTAATTATTATTGAACAAATGTTTGACCTGTCTAAAGAATGAACAAAATATAATTATATAATTTCTATTTCTGTGGCATTATGTGCTCATTTATTTTTGCAAATCCATGTTCTAGTCATTTTGATGGGTTTTTTTAAAGGCTCATTAAACTTCAGAAATGTTACTATTTTTATTTCTAAATAAAACTGTTTATTTTACAGGCATTTATAACAGTTTCGAAACACGAACTCATTTGTTTTATGTAAACATGAATTTTTGTTTGCATCTTTAATATGTTGATAATTGGTAAAACAATAGTAAATAAGTTATTCGTATGGAAGTCAAAATACTACTTTTTACATTTTTCTTCTAGTAAGACATATTACCGCATGTTCCGTATCATTTTTTTTCAGTTTTAAAACATCTAAAATGCAATTATCCATTATTTAAACATTATTATTAAACACATATTTTACATTTCCAAAGAGTTAAAGAAATATGGATTTCTGAGGCAAAATGTGCCCTTAAGTCGATTCAAGTTGATGTATAGATGTATATATAAAGTTATTGTATAACTGTGAGTGAGAAAGTTTATCTAGGCGAGCTTTAGTAAACCAAGATTTACTCTTGCAGCAAACTGGATAAACCCTCTCCATCCCGACAACAACCATGTTCAATCATGTCATCAGATCATTTTAAACGTTTCATTTTTACTTTTCCCCCGTCAACATGTATTTTTCATTGCCCTTAACTATATGACGTCATCATAGGATAACCATTTGACCTAATGTTTGCATCCGGCCTGATAATACAGACATTTACTGTTACAGTAGTAGGATAAATTACAGTCATGTGCCTTTGTCTATGTGATTAATCTTTTTATCAGTTTATTAATATGTTTTAATTAATGCACTATTTGGTATGTTGTTGTTTTAATGGTTTAATTAATAATATAAAGGTGCACAAATGACTTTTTTCATATATTGTTTTCCTGTTTTGTTTTAATTTAAGAATAGCACTAATTAAGAATATACGCAACAGATATGTTAGACGTAAAACAGTTTAAGCACCTATTATCTACTACTGTTTAGTTTATATATATACAAAGTGTTTCAATTAATTGCACCCATTATTTTTACTATGTAGGTTTATTTATTTAATTAAGCAAAAAATACATTTGTTAGAGATTTAGACATCTGAATCATGATGTATTTTGTTTTTAATTAAGCAAATAATACATTTTATTAGAGATTTAGTCATCTATATCATAATATATTTTGTTTAAATTTGATTGAAACATTTTGATTACATTTATAAATGACAACTTGTATGTCCTGTGTTTTAGATCACCTAAGTTTGAGGGTACTCATGGTGAGCTTTTAGCCGTCCGTGGCTTAAAATGATTTCAAACGGCGTCATCTCGGAAACTACTTGATCAAATTATAAAAGCTTTTCCTATGATAGTCTTTGCATTTAGATCTTCCATTTTTGATATTTTGTTTTGATATTGTGTTTGTAGCATTTTGATCAAATCATGCATTGCAGTCGGAATTTATTTCTATTTCCATTTTTATAGACTTTAAGGGAACATCTTTTAAGATATTGTCCTTTAAAGGTAACGGCTTAAAGCTAACACATTTTGTTTTAAGGTATTGTTTCGTTATCTATTCATTTTGCTCTTATAACGATGGGTTTCAGTTCAGCGATGTCCTTTTTGTTAATTTTTCTGAGTTTCCATTTCTTTATATATAGTTCAATATACGAATTTTTATCATTTACAAAGATACATATTTTTGTTTTACACACCCCAATATTCTTCAAAAATACAATCACCTTTATTAGTCATTATAGCCTCAGTGAAGTTTTAATGTGTCTGTATACTAGAATCATCCTGTCTGTCCGTTCGACTAGCTAGCCGTGTAAATTTACTTTTTTTCGACTATCATATAAATCTGATAAAGATAATGTGCAGTGCCCAAGAACAGTAACTTTTTTAAATTTTAGACTGATTGCTTATTGTACTTTTTTATTTAGTTTTTGTCCAAAGCATAACGTAAAAAACATCGGATTTAACATCATAAAAATTAACAAATGAACATATCTTCTTGTTGAGAAAGAGTGCTGTGTTGAAGATACATAACTCTCTATTGCCTAATGTTGGAGTTACTGGCCTTTGCACTTAGTGAATAAAATGATGATGCGGAACATAACGGGAAAAGTTGCATAAATTACACAGATGAATAGAACGCAAAAATGATTAGTACTTCAGACACACTACTTTGATATGCATAATTATGTTTAATTGCCTTGTTCTTTTTCATATTTACTTTCGTCCGAAGCTTGACTGGTGCTTTATTTACAAAATTGAAGAAGTAAAGACCTTAAAGCTACATAGATATAAAAACCTCAATTAAGAAATATAGTGTATTAAACCATTTTCTTTTATACTTGTACATATTTTTGTGATGATAGACCTTGTAATTTGTAATGTTTAATTTTTGTTCGCTGCCATTGGTTAAAGTTGCAATGCACTATATTTCATAAATCTAATTCATTGCCAATTATAATACATTGTATTTTATATATTACTTTTTGCCACAACACGTACGCAGATGAAGGTATCTACAAGATACGTCTTGGGAATATATATTTTATTTAGGTTTATGCAGTAGTTATTTCATCGCCATTTGTATATAGTTTAATATTTTGTTTTTGTCTAGAATACCGGTATTAGCTTATGTCAATACGATGTATTAACATAAAACTTCATTATATCCTTTTGACCAAAAGGTAAACAAGGCATTAGGACAGGGTGTGTCTAGTTTGTTATGATAAAAACTATTTGTTAAAGAAAGTTCATGATATAATGATTTTATTATAAAAGTTACCTGGATAACGTTGAAAGATTAACAGAAGTTGATAAAATAATATTTTCAAGGTATTCTTACATTTATTTTTACTTTTATGTATTTAGTGGCTATTGAAAATACTATAAAAATATTTGAATATCTTATTTCAAGTATTTGAAATATTAGTATTATGATGTGTCTGCAATATGTTGGCATTATTTACTACGAAATATATATCAGAACCACACAAACAAGTTCGCCGCACAATGAAGTATTTTGATACATTCAAACAGACTGGCTGAATTATGCAAGTATTTAGAAATAGGTTTCGTAAAAAAGCTGGTCCATTAATAAAAGTACCAAGATGTAAGAAATCATAAAGTACTTACATATAGGTTTTACAATTAATAAAAGTACTAAGATACAAACAAGCTCGCAAAACAATAAAGTATTATTATAAACAAGTCAAAATGGCTGAATTATGAAAGTACTTATAGAGATAGGTTAAGCAAAAGAAAACATGTCGCAATACCTGCGTCTAAAAATGTAACATAATCTGACCCATTGTGAGTATAGAGATACTTCACGGGTGTTTCCTTGAACTGAGTTCCCAGGAGAACAACCAGAGAAAAATTTAATACAAATATTTATAACCAGATCCCTAGATGACCTGGATTCTATATCTCTGTCATCAGTTTGCAAACATTCCTCATAGTTAGCACCATTGAGACAATCTTCCCTGTAATTCTAGCGATTTCTCGGTAATTTTACAGAATAAAAAATTCCAGAAAACTACAACACTGACTAATCGTCTGTTAAGGATACTGATAGTTATGGTGGCTGATTTATACCATTTCTTGTTTCACTTCTTTGCCTCCAAAATGCGAAAACACGAATGGACAACAAAAGTTGATTTGTCGTCTCTTCGAGTTTTCGCTTTATCGGATTTTCGAGGCGAAAAAGGAAGAAATGAAAGACGAAGGGCGACAATATGACACGAGAAATCTGTTGGCTATGTGCATTTCATCTGTCGTAATTTCGCTTTTCGCATTGTCGAATTTTGGCATTGTTGTGTTACCGCTTGTTCGCATTGAGCTATTTTGACATTTTCGCATTGAACACGATATTTCATACAACCCTTGATATCATACCGTCCGTAATTTCATAGAACTCGATATTTCATACAACCCTTGATATCATACGGTCCGTTATTTCATAGAACCCGATATTTCATACAACCCTTGATATCATACTGTCCGTTATTTTATAGAACCCGATATTTCATACAACCCGCGATATCATACGGTCCGTTATTTCATAGAACCCGATATTTCATACAACCCGCGATATCATACGGTCCGTTATTTCATAGAACCCGATATTTCATACAACCCGCAATATCATAAGGTCCGTTATTTCATAGAACCCGATATTTCATACAATCCGCGATTTCATACGGTCCGTTTTTTCATATAACCCGATATTTCATCAATTTGCGATATCATACGGTCCGTTTTTTCATATAACCCGATATTTCATACAACCCGTGATATCATAAGGTACGTTATTTCATAAAACCCGATATTTCAATCAACCCGCGATATCATTAGCCCGTTTTATCATAGAATACGTTGGGTCATAAACAATATTTTAAAATAGAACCCATTGAGTGTCATGATACCCATTTAAACAAAATAGAACTCTTGGTGTCAAAGAGCCCGTTGTATCATAAAATTCATTATATCATAGAACCAATGTTATTATAAAACCCATTTTATCATAGAACACATGGTTTCTTAAAATGTAATATATTATATAACCCTTTGTATCATTGAAATGGTCTAGTAGTATCTCACTGAGCCTGTTTTTCACGGAATGCGTTGTATCATTAAAACAGTGGTTAAAAAGAACCCACAGTATGTACTTTTGTATCAAAGAACCCGTGGTGTCATACCACCCGTTATATCATGGAATTCGAGGTATCATAGAGCCATAATTGATACTATATATCTTGTGGTATTAATTACAATCAGTGGTATTTTGGAACCCTTGGTTGATTTAGAACCCGTGGTACCATAGAACCATCGGATATATCAATCCTGTTGTTTCATAGAACCCATGGAATCATTGAACTAGAGGTATCATATAACCCGTACATCATAGAATCATCGGATATATCAAACCTGTTGTTTCATAGAACCCATGGCATCATTGAACCAGAGGTATCATATGACCCGTACATCATAGAATCATCGGATATATCAAACCTGTTGTTTCGTTTCTTTCACGCGCCATGTGGCGACTATTAACGTAAAAGTCTATTTAGTACGTTTACATCATTTCCTTTGTTATTTATCAACTGTTAGAGCTAATAAAGCTGAACAAGTGTTGATATTTACAATTGTGTTGGTTTTTATTTGTTTGGGTCGTCAGACCAAACAAATAATGGTAGCGAACTTTCAGAGTCTAATGTTGTTAATTGCAAATGCCGAAAGTAGTCAATCAATTTTCAAGCAAAGTAATCCCCGAATGGTGGAAGATTTCTAATATTGTTTTATTGTATTTTCTGATCGAAAATAAGTAAATACAAAGCGGACATTCAATCTCTGACACAGAAGTTTACTACA